GTCTGAACATTACTATAAAGGTTATTTGAAGGCGTCTTAATGATTTTGGTCTCAAAGGACACGTATCTCGTATAAAGGCAATATCTATCTAGTTGCAGGAATTGGAAACTGAAGACTGTTTTCGTTGAAGCATACAAACACTGAATAGCACAACATTGGGAAAAGGCGTTATTTTCTGATGAATTGAAATTTAATGGAGTATCTACCAATAGAACTCGATATATCAGACGTCGCAAGGAGAACTAAATCTGCAATGCATAACAGGAACGTTCAAATATGGCACGGTATTTGAGAACCTACTTTAAAACGTAGTAGATTGTTCTTTTTCACGAATCGTCACTGAAAGTTTCGAACCGATTTACTGAACGAGTTTGGAGTTATAACAGTGTTAATTTTCTGGGATTTTATATCCTTATGGAAATGTTATTGAATACAGTTATTGAAACTGTTATTAGATATCTGTTATTAAAACTGTTACTAAATATCTGTTATTAAAACTGTTATTGGATATCCGTTAAATTATAGACAGTTCTAAATGGATGTGGAATATCAACAAAATTTAACTTCTACTAAACTCTTTTAGTGAAATTAATAATACACTAATAAAAATTTTGAGTTTTAAATCAAAGACGTGACAATGTTAGAAACTCCATTTTGTTTTAATAAAGTTAATTTATAAAAATTATTTTGAATAGATTCAGATGTCCAACTTTTATTTTTAACTCAAAGTTAGTAAATAATAGGAGAGTACATTTAATATTCATGCTTGTGTCAGAAGAAACATATTAACCCCTTTCCTTCTATCATCGAGTCAGACCTGCACCTTACAGTTCAAATGTGACAAACCCAAATCATATTTGCATACAGATCGAGTTTCGAGTTCCACACCAATTGTAATTTGTAAGATTATTCAGAATATACCTAAAATTTCTAGATTCTTTATTTACCTTGACACTACAGTAGTAAATAGGTGGCTCTGATGCAATTGCCTTAAACTTGTAGGCTAGGGGTTAAATTAAAAATTTTCCTTGTGTCAAAAGCCTTTAACCACATTCGTTAATTTTTCTATTAACCCCTTGCATTATTTTGACGAGTTTGTCTCGTGACGCACTCGTACTTCGGCCATGATCAATTTTACTCGAATTTTTAATACACTTCAATTTGGAGTTTAAGTCCAATTGTAATTTACATAGTCAACAATTGCGTAATAACATATTGACATAACATTTTTTAATTTTTTGTCTATTTTAATATTGTAGCTGTAATTAGTCAGTTCTGACTGACACACCTGACAAATAAATCATAGCGCAAGGGGTTAATGTAAGTCGTACTATATTTCCATTAATACTACTCATATATTATAACGATATTTGCCAAACATAATTTAACACTCAAACCACCAAATCGATCAAATGACCGCTCCACAAGTTTCCTATTATAAGGTGCACATGTTGCAAAAGAACATTCAATGAAATCAGCTTTGATTTTCATCAAAATAAAGAATAAATGTGTGTACTAATTTACGTTTCGTTTGTGTATTTATTTTTTAACTTCATTTTTAATTTCAAATTAAGTATACATGTCGGTAGGTTTAGTGTTAAACATCTAATTATTTTCATGTAACACTATAGAATCAAAGAAAATGATTAAGTCACATCACTTGCACGTCCTTTTTGCTCTGCATGTGTCAGTCTTTGTGCTGAAGGCGTTTGATAAGTTTCCATTCCCGAGAAATTCTTTTTCCTACAGCCCCGAGCATGGAAAGTTATCAAGAGTGCACTGTAGTGGAAACGTGATGGTGTGGACGTCATTCTATCGAAATGGTCCAGGATCAATTCGGAGAGTTAACCCTTTGCGGACGCGTATCTACTGAAAGTCGTCCAAGCGATTTTGCTGTTCCGAACGTGCGCCTGCAGAAAACCATCAAAGGCTTCCTAAACATTCGTACACACATAATACTAAGTTCTGGACTAATTACCTACAAATTTGTTCCTGGTTAGTTATATGTATAATTGATCCTGATATATTGTTTCATATAGTTCCATACCGACGTAATTAAATGAACTTGTGCTTTATTTAATTAATAAATTCATTAATCGTGCTTGTCAAACCAATGCAAAATTACTAAATCAATTATCCATGCACAATTAATATAATAGAGAGTTGATTAAATTTTACAATTTCTTGCTTTTATGTATATGTTATGATATATGTTGTATATCTTCAATAAGTAGCTATTTAATCATTTATATATTTTATTATGAATAGGTACTTTATTTTATATCGATATATTGATAATTTGTAAATGTTTTAGTGTGTGGAATAAAAATTCATTAAATTTTTATCGACTGTGGGAGTCAGATATTGTATATTTTTTTTTAGTGTGTAAATAGAAAAATTGGAAAATAAAGGGAATAACAGTGGCGCTGTTATAATATTTGTTTAGATAAACAAGGTTCATAGAAATTTTAAATTTTGCTAGTTTCAAATGGTAAATTTCAGATATTTAATTATTTTTAAAGTTAGAAAATTGAAATTTTAGAAATACAAAAACTTGAAGATACATATTTGAATTTACGAACTTTTAGATCTTCAGTCTTCCAAACTAAGAAATTTATAAATTAAAAAATTTAAGAAGTTAAAAATGCAGGTATATCAAATTAGAAAAGTTAGACTAAACTAAATTGAATTGTATTAAAATGAAATTGAAAAATATAGTAAATTTGAGAGAAAAAAATTTAGCAATTATATTTTAAGTTTACAATATTGAAAATCTCTAAATTCAGAAATTGGAAAATAAAGAAATTCAGAACGTTGGAATGTAGAGTTTTCAAATTAAAAAGCTTGTAAATTTAAAAGTGTGGGAAATTGGAAAATTAAAAATGAAGAAATGAGCAAATTTAGAAATATAGTAGTTGACAAATTTAGAAATTCAATAATTTAGAAGTATGATAATTTAATAATTAAAAAATGTATAAATTCAAAAACAAGGTAATTTAAAAATTAAAGAATTTATGAATATAATAATTTAGTAATTAAAAAATTTAAATGTTTAGAGATTTAGAGACAAATCTAAGTAATGTCCTACATCAACAAAGGATCTCGAACTCGGTAAAATCTTCTCTTTCTTTCAAACATATTAAATGAGCTATTACATTAAACTTTTTAACGTACGATAAAACGTAATGGGATTTTGAGATATACATATATCACTTCGTCACCATATGCTTCCAAAACCTCTCATCTTGGCGAACGTCGACGTGTCAGACAGTTCCGCTCGCTGGAAGGGTTAATAGTGTTTCAGACAAATTTCACCGACTAAATATTATAAAAACGATTAGAATACCTCAAATATATGAATATTTAATTCTCCCTTTTAGCATATTGCCATAAAACGGCTAAATTTACGAAACAGTATTTTACAGAAGAAAATATCACTGCTTTGTTCCGTTCGTCACAATTATCGGATCTCGATTTGATTGAAAATACTGTGGTGCACTGTTGGAAAATGAAATGTGCATAAGTATAAATTCAAAAATTTAAATAACCTTTCTATAGCGGTTGAAATGCAGTGAAATATCGTTTCAATGATTTCTGCGAATTAATGTTTTAAGTCAATCAATTCAATACCACTTTTCAGTTTAGTAAAAAATGTGCTACAGTTATTATTGCACAAATATTGCGCTTTTAATACATTCCTATTATTAATGTAAATATTTTTTTATTAAAATTAAGGGACACTGTAATATATTGAATATTAATGGTAATTTTGATATAGGGTAGATATAATTTATCTTTTCATTTTATTTATTTATTTATTCCAAATAAATTCCAAACTTCCATTTTTCCAAATTGCTACGTTTTAAAATTTTCACACCCTCAAGTCCTCAAAATTTCCCCAAATTTGTAAATTTATAAATTCACAGATCCCCAAATTTATAAATTTACAAATTCTCAACCCCCCCAATTTATAAATTTATAAATTCTCAACCCTCCAAATTTATAAATTTTCAACCCCCCAAATTTATAAATTTATAAATTCTCAACCCCCCAAATTCCTAAATTTGCAAATTCTCAACCCCTCAAATTCCTAAATGTACACATCCCCAAATCCCTAAATTTCTAAATTCACAAATTCTCAGCCCAAATCCCAAAATCTATAAATTCCTCCATCCCCAATTTTCTGAATCCGCAAATTCCCAAATACCCAAATCTCTGAATCTCCACATTTTTAAATCCCCAAGTTACACACTCTGCCCATGAAAAAAGCTCGTACAATTCAGAAATCCTTTACAAAAAAATTTGAAAGATGTTGTATCTATTTTTCGAAACATGTTGAGCATGTACCGTATACAATTCATCACACATTTTGACACGTTTTGTCACGGCAGTATTGTTCCTAACATTTTTTCATATTTTTTAATCCTGTAACAAAGTTTCAGTCTGCTACACGTTCATAGTTTTCAACAGTCTGTGAACCTAAGGTAATTTTTAAAATGTTAGACTTTTTGTCTATTTTAACAAATACACGCTATCGAAGGTTCCAATTCTTCTCACTCGTTTCTAAATAATTTCAAATTACACATTTTATTTTTCAGAAAACATTTTATAACTGTTTAAAAAGAATTCATTAGATCACAATCACGACTGTTATAAAATGCCAATATTCGATTTAATTTTCAACACAATTACTCGATAAACAGTCTTATCAATTTACAGACGTAACGGGAGAGAAATTTAAATCCGTCCTTAGCACACGACACTTGAGATCAAATTACCATCCATAACCTGCACACTTTCAAAGAGTACCACTAACGTTACACTTCCTTTTACCATCGAAGGTCGATAATGCGTTCGAAAGTTCGAAATTAAAAGTCAACGAAACATCGCGAAACTCGTTCGATACGATAACCGAGATTGGCGCGAAATTTGCTGGAGATGCGATTGCTCGTGTGTTAAACGCACATCACTAAACTAATGATTAACAAGTAGTCACTCACCGGAACCGGTGGAATTATCCATCCAAACAGTTGCAGTGTAGGTCGAGAGTAGCAGAACCATCATCAGGAACCGGGAACGGCTCTCGATGCTCTCCAAAACACGCATTACACGTTCACTGGTCATCACACTTTCGAACGAACAAGTAGATAGTACGCGAGCGGCATTCCGACTGAAGGATCGCGTTTCGTGTACCCCAACAGCATGTCACCCCCTCTTTTCACCCCCCTCTATCCACCCCCCTTTCACCCCCTCTTCATCACCTTGCGGCAGCTTTCTTACCACTCGGTTCTCCCTACCGCCGCACCTTTCCCGCCATGCGCATGCGCCCTTACGCTCACCGGTTCCTAACTTTGGGTTTCACCCCGATCTCCCACCTCACTATCCCTTTTAATCCGGCTTACTTATCTCTTATCAATACGTGATGATTAATTATCGGTATATCTGAGTCGAAGGCAACTGTGCTTGCTAACCGATGCAAGCACCTGTAGAATGTTCTTTGATCTTGCCTTTTCATATATCGCAATTGTATTGTTAAGGTCATGGCGTGAAAATATGCAAATGTAGATGACTAAGTTTGTACTCGAGATATACTCGATTTGTAATACTCAATATTTATATATGTACTGGGGCTGCATGTGGTGAATATATTTTATTTAAATGTATTTTAAAATTTATTAGAATGGATTTTAAGTGAGTAAATAATGAATGAGTAAATAAATTAAAAATTATAAATGAATACATTGTAACAAAGTATGTACTTCATCATTTTTAATTTTATTAATTTTAATAATGTATTGCAACAAAATTACAAAATATGGAATATGTGTTTGAGCATAATAATTTCACAGCCCACCGTAAATTAAATATAAGTAAACGTTCAAGTGAAAGTAAACACTAGATAGCAGAAAATTTGACCAATACACTAGGATCCGATTATCGCAATCGCGAATAATGTTATCAAGAGGATATTGTTAGTATAATCAATCGGTCCCAATACGCTCTATAGAGAACTGGGTAAAATTAATCCAACTATCATGATGATACTTTGGCTATTGTTAGAGAAACTGGTTTAAATTCAGACTAGAGTTCGAATATGAACTAGTTGAAGTATTAATCCATGTAAGGGCTTCAGTATTTACGTTAGTATTTTATCTAGTGTGTGAAACTGTATTAGTTTACTTTTATAATTTTTAACGTGTTGCAAAAGGTAATTTGACTTATTTCATCGTTTTAAAAGATTCGACTAATATTTACTCCTCTAATACCGAATTTCAATTGTGACACAATGATCAATTCGATTTATGAATATTTCCCATAACTAGTACGACAAAGTAAATGGACAGTTTGATTTTTTTAAATTCTGCCGTACACCCCCTACCGCCGCACCTTTCCCGCCATGCGCATGCGCCCTTACGCTCACCGGTTCCTAACTTTGGGTTTCACCCCGATCTCCCACCTCACTATCCCTTTTAATCCGGCTTACTTATCTCTTATCAATACGTGATGATTAATTATCGGTATATCTGAGTCGAAGGCAACTGTGCTTGCTAACCGATGCAAGCACCTGTAGAATGTTCTTTGATCTTGCCTTTTCATATATCGCAATTGTATTGTTAAGGTCATGGCGTGAAAATATGCAAATGTAGATGACTAAGTTTGTACTCGAGATATACTCGATTTGTAATACTCAATATTTATATATGTACTGGGGCTGCATGTGGTGAATATATTTTATTTAAATGTATTTTAAAATTTATTAGAATGGATTTTAAGTGAGTAAATAATGAATGAGTAAATAAATTAAAAATTATAAATGAATACATTGTAACAAAGTATGTACTTCATCATTTTTAATTTTATTAATTTTAATAATGTATTGCAACAAAATTACAAAATATGGAATATGTGTTTGAGCATAATAATTTCACAGCCCACCGTAAATTAAATATAAGTAAACGTTCAAGTGAAAGTAAACACTAGATAGCAGAAAATTTGACCAATACACTAGGATCCGATTATCGCAATCGCGAATAATGTTATCAAGAGGATATTGTTAGTATAATCAATCGGTCCCAATACGCTCTATAGAGAACTGGGTAAAATTAATCCAACTATCATGATGATACTTTGGCTATTGTTAGAGAAACTGGTTTAAATTCAGACTAGAGTTCGAATATGAACTAGTTGAAGTATTAATCCATGTAAGGGCTTCAGTATTTACGTTAGTATTTTATCTAGTGTGTGAAACTGTATTAGTTTACTTTTATAATTTTTAACGTGTTGCAAAAGGTAATTTGACTTATTTCATCGTTTTAAAAGATTCGACTAATATTTACTCCTCTAATACCGAATTTCAATTGTGACACAATGATCAATTCGATTTATGAATATTTCCCATAACTAGTACGACAAAGTAAATGGACAGTTTGATTTTTTTAAATTCTGCCGTACACCATTTTCATAATCACTGTCATATACTGTTGAAATCAATATCAATTTAAAATAAAAATAACGCTCGAACAATGACATTCGTATTTTGTAATTAAAGTTAATATGGTAATTCCAATATTCAATATTGAAAATACGTGGTTGAGCTCAATAAAATACGCCTTTCAAAGAATATGAAATACTTTATCATTACAGAATAATTTTGCCATTGATGTTTATTGCACCTGTAATTAGTTCTTCATTTTTTAATATTTGCTGATTTATATAATTTATATAATATTCATTTATATTCTTTTCTGTTTGTCTTGAAGTAACACTAAGAAATAAATAAAGGAAATTTTGATTTTTCTATATTTTCTGTTTTGAATTTTTCGTTAAAGAGTATTCTATATAAGAGAATATAATTAAATTCTACTTTTGTCAAGATATATTTTCTCTGAAGCTCCACGATCTTCTCGAATACTATAGTCATATACATTCTTGTAATAATTGTACAGATGTCAACCCACGAGTTGGCGCGTCATCGACCCAAAGTAAAAGAAGCTCTCCCCACCGTGAACACTCCCAGTTACATTTCGACAAGTATAGAATATAAGAATAATAATGCTATAAACTATAACGAACGCTGAACGAAACACGCACTATCTCACTCACTCTCGAGACGTTTGACTGTTACTGTTTCTCACCGAATTGGTGTGCGTGACTGCTCGCGCCAATATTTCCTACCGCCGTAACTCTTCTAAACACCTGGCTCAACCTCTTCACGCTTCAACTCGTGTGTTGACATCGGTAGTTGAAATGAAAAATAAAAATACTTTGTTCACTTTGACTGACTTCATCCGTGTTACAAATACGAGTCTACGTGATTATCGTTATCATTATCCTCTTTCTTTGTCTCTATTTATTCAGAGTGTCTCCTGACATCGAATTTGAAGCGCTAAGTAAACAAGTTGAAGAAGCATTTCGAGATTGTAATTTAAATTCTGTACTCTAGCTTAGATTGACCTACATTCGCCATTCCAATATTTCTTCATCGATGCTTGATGTTTCACACAGTATTTCTCTCGGTCATCAATCAGAAATTTAAGATTACTTACAAACATTCTTAAACAATTTAAGTTGCATTATAGTGTATATCACTATAACGTAGATGGGTCATAGTGAATTTGATAAATATTAGCAAAAAATTGTTGAAGCAAAATTTGAGTGGCATGATAATCTATTCTTCTACGATTTGATTCTCTTCATAATTCATGCACTCAAAAGATACAAATGTATTTTTTTTAATAGAATTTTTTTACTCAGTTACTCCAAACATTATAGTTAAAAGTGACTTATGTGAGCTATCGCACAAAATATTTATTGTTTAGCATGCTACCTTAGCATTTTTTTATGTAGAAAATGATAAAAATAAGAAAAAATATACAATTCAGTTATATATGTATTTGTATTTTTGGGTCTTAAACATTATCATATAATTTTATTTTTGCCTTCAAATTTTTTTTCTAAAACTTATCAAATTTGAGATACTATTCACCCGCTTGTGTGACGCAAACTACAAAGGCACATTAAATGACTGAAAAGCTACGAATGCACGGTTAAAGTATTTCACGTAATATTTTCAATATTCTCCGGCTAACAAGGAATGTCGGTTATTCAATTAACAGAGACCGTAATACAGTTAATCACTAAGATTAGGGATCATCGAAGCCGCGCCTATTGTGATTACGGAGGACCGTTAAGCGATATCAATCATCTACTAGCTGGGCTGGATAGACCTTTAACCGTGAAACAATCGGATTATGCATTTCAACGTTTCTGTTAGATAATCGTTAGCCTTCCGTAAAGTGTATAATTACAGAATATTAGTTATGTAACTGACTATGTCAATTTAATCAATATTACACATCACTTTATATGATTTAACCAATATGAGCTTTACTTCATTTTCTGAAATAATTATAATATTAGATTATTAATATTATATTGAAATAATTGAAATATTTTAAGCTATGTGAAATTTGTACAGAAAGATGTACAAATTTTTTTAGTGGAAATTGCAAATTTTATGTTGAATAAAGGTACAATTGAATTTAACCGTTAAAGTCAAAATTGTGACAAGCAACAGTGGAGAGGATCCTTATTCGATAAATTTGAGGAAATTTTGGGATTTTGCAAGTTTAGGGATGAATTAAGAATTTGAAGACACATTTGTGATACGTGAATTTAGAAAACTTAGGAATCTGAAGATTTGAAGAAAATAAAAAATTTGCACAACTATTAGAAAAAGATCAAAATGCATTGTTCGCAATTATATCAGAACGACTAATTCGTGAGAATAAGGAGTAATTCAGATATGAACGAATATATTCCGCGAATTCGAACAAACAAAGAGGCAATGACAAGTGCAAGTGAGATATCGATATCTGGCACGAGAACGGGGTCTTGAGTTGGAAACTTGTAAAAACAAACATATTGGGTGTCGGAACCTCGAAACTCGTTTTGTCAAGCAATTCGGTTGACAACCGAAGTGGACGCTGTTAACCAAAAACTGATGGTGTTAGCGACGAATGTATAACCGGACTAATATTCGGACGTTTAATTGGACTCTATTGTTCCCGGTAGTGTAACAAATTCAATGCTATGCGGAAGGTATATGCTGTTTCAGTCGTGTGCTACTTGATAA